TATGGGCACTTTTTATACTTCTGAGTAGGGAGATGAGCACTGTTGAAAACAGACTGAGCAGTTTAGAAAATTGAGTCCTAGGAATCCTCCTTTCCTGTATCTGTGTTGAGGAAGAATGAACAATAATGGTACTGAGAACAGGTTCTCGCCCTTGGTGGCAGCTGAGGACCAGTTCAGGTCCATCTAAAATGCTGTGGGTACTTCAGAGCAAGCTGAGGGTGCTGCATTGCATTTTGGCTAGGAACAATTTGAGGAGAAGGCATGAATTGTCAGCTGCCTTTGGCAGTTGTTTTTCTTTCTGCATATGGTATTTTGTCACTCAGCATCCACACTGTATTCCATAGCAAATTGGTGTTTACTTTTATATTCTGCTTTCAGAATTCTTGCAACCAATAAGTGACTTACCAAGAAAATATATTTATGTAGAAAACGAAGTGCCAAATTACCCACTGTTTGGATAACTCGGGTAGTTGTTATTTTTTCCCCATAACTGACTCCTCTGAAAAGTCTTTCCTCTCGGGGAGACCGCTGTGTTGTCAGTCATGCCAAATTGTATGAGATTATGTGCTGCAGTTTTGTGACAGAAACGGATATTCATTAGGAAGTTGTGATCACTGTAATAAAGCATAATGAAAAGGAGATGCACAGTCATCTTTTCAAACCATGACAAGCATTCTCTTCTTTCCTCCTCTTTCAGTGCCTGTCAATCTGCAGCTCCTTTAAATTACCACTTCTGCATAAAATGATTTCAGTCTTCTCTTGGCTAACCTTGTGAGACCATACATTTGACATGAGGCATTTCGAAGGGGTTCCATTACTTGTGGAAGGTTTTTGGCATCTGACTTGTTTTGGCAGAGGGACGAGTAGAGAGGAAGAGTTGGGAGAGGAAGGGAAAATTGGAAAAATGGAAAGAGATTCATGGAGATTGCCTTGCATTCTTTTCCTCTGTTGGTCAGTCACAGCTCTGAGTGCTTTTGCAGTGCCTTGCTGGTGAGAGAAAGAGTTGGTTGCACACACTAGCACCTTACAACATTGCAATGACTGTCCTCTCCCTGCCACACTTCATTTGTATGTAAATGTTAATGCCTTAACCTCAAAGAAGACAACAAATTATGCAGGCCAGCAGGTTAAGGGCAGCAGTACATATGGAAACACAGCTCAGGCTTCTCTTGGCTTATCTCTAGCAAAGTGCAACCAGAAGTAATCGGGGTTCACATCTCCTTGCTATCTGTCCTGATTTAGCTCAGTTAACTAGCTGAGGCAGTAAGTTAATTTTTCCTTGGCCATTGGTATTCAGAAAGTGCTTTGGAGCTCTGACTAAGATCAGAGCTCTGTTATTTTAGTCATTGTGTGCATATGTACTAAGAATTTAAATCTCTTTTATTGAGCCAGTGTGTTTTGTCTTGCGTTGTTGCAGACTTAGCTGACACGAGGTCAGTCACATTTTAAGGTGCAGTAACCTTTCTGCATGCCTCATCCTGCTGAGATAACTGTGCTGAAGACAAGAGAACACAAAAGCATAGCAAGAAGAAACAGCTCACTAGCAAGACTGCTAGGCTGCTGCTGACCCCTGATGCTTGTGAGTGATGGGTTTAAATCCATGCTTGACAAGGTCTAGACTTCCAGGGCTGGACAGGTAACGCTGAGCACCCATGAGTGATGATTACTGGGGGATCTTTTGGAAGAGAAGGTACTCCCCAGCCTTCATGTACATGACTGCTTGTGGCTTCTTTCAAAGAACAGACCAATTCCTCCCAGTGCTGAGACACAGCCATGCATGAATGAGCTGGTTGGCTGCTGTCTACTCCTAAAAGATGGTTACCTTTCATCAGCACCCTACAAAACGTAGCAGTTAAAATAGCTTTCCTGAAAAGAATGCTGAATTGCTTCAGTTGCTCTATTATTTTCACACTGGAAACATTCTCCCCAAGTCTGCTCTGAGTTAATTGAAAATAATAGTCAGCATCAGGCAGTTAGTTAGAAAGTTTTCCAAGATGGGTTTACCCATGACACGTTGTCTAACTGCTGTTATTGAAAGAAATAGTGCAGTACTGAGTCACTACACATTTCAGCTGTAAATACTAAACTGAATTAAGTAGACTTTTTTCCCACTAAAATCCTTTCTATGCATTCGTGAAATTCCTGATGCTGTTGGGAAGCAGCTTCATAGCTGCTGCTCACTTGTTGGTGCTGTCTTTTACCTCTGGTGTTCCATGGCTAAGAGGAGAGGACAACATTCATCTCATTGCTTTTTATTCCTAGATGCTTTTATAGGCTCCATCATCCCATTAGCTGAGTGGATCCCAGTCTTGTTATGTCAGGCCTCCCACAATCCTTTTGAGAGGTGGGGAGAGTGGTCATCTCACTTATGGATCTAGTCCTGAAATGCAGAGTGGCTGATTCCTTGGTCATGGAGGGAGCTGGATCCCATCCCCTGAGGTGCCTGTGCAGCACCCCAGTGATAGCTGATGAGTAAGCAAAATGTATGCTGTGGACAAAATCCCAGCTTGCTTTCTCTGAGAACATGAGGTCCACCCAAGTTGTTGTCTGATTCCTTGTCCAGAAGACACCATCTTTTCTGTTAACTTTACACTGAGTGGACTTCAGTCTTGAAGGATGGGCAGGAACTTTTCAAGAGAAAGTGGAATTCTTCTGTCTCATTTGGGACAAACTGCAGTTCTATCTAGGTTTCAAGAATAATATCTTCTGGACTTGTGTTAGACTTAAGTGACTTGTTGATAACCCCATTGACTCAAATTCTTTTATAAGAAATTCCTGAGGTTTCCAAATAGCAGTGCCTCTCTATAGTCACCTCAGTACAACTGAGTGAAAGGGATTTTCAGAACATGTGGGAGAGAGGATGATGACTTCTCAACTGAATTGTAGAGCAGATGTATTACAGGGCATCAAGCAGCTGCACAACCTGCAGGTCTTGTTGTGGGCCTATCAGTCAGCATTAAGGACAAGATGATAAGAGTGAGGTCATTTATTTCATGGTTTGAAGATGAAGTAAATGCAAAAAAATGGTTTAACTGAAGCTACTTCAAGGGTTGAAGGTCTTCCACTTAGTAATCTAGCTTTATATGGGTATACTGAATGATGGTCAATGAAAATAATGTTTAGCACATTTGGAGAAAGGGTCGGGGGAGAAAGATCCATCCTGTGTTACTCTTCAGCTGTTTGACTTGAAAGGAAAATGCACCATTTTCATGGTGCAGCAAGAAGGGTATTTGGAATTTCCCTTTTGCTGGTGTTAGGAGAACTTCCTGTGCTTGCGTGATGTGAGGATCTAGTCCTTAGTTTGGCTTCTAGCTTTTTTTCCCTAACATCATACAAAGTCAGAAATACATTTTTTTCCTCTCCTTTGTAGGGACTTAAAGTAGTATTTTCAAAAGATCAATTCAGAGTGATTGTGTAAGGTTGGATGCCGAATGGGACCTCAAACGTGACAGTAATCTGCCTTGTTTACTTTGAAAAATCAAATTCTTTGTGTGCTTTCCTTTTACAGTC